AAAATTTGGAAATGATTGAAATTATTTTTTAAAAAGTTAAAAAATTAAGCTTATTTATATAAATATTCCTATATATCCGAAATAAACTCAAATAGTATATTAAATCAATATTATTTTAGCAATCGGTTAAATTCAAAGTTTGATTCTTAGGAACAATAAATGATAATACCATCGTTCCTAAGGAACGATAAATGCATCGTACCTTAGGAACGATAAAACTATCGTTCCTTAGGTACAATAATACTATCGTCCCTAAGAAATGATAAAACCATCGTCCTTAAGCTAAGGAATGATAAAATCGTCATTCCTTAAGTACAATAAAACAATCATCCTTAAGGAACGATAAAACAATCGTCTCTAAGGAACGATAAATACATCGTACCTAAGGAACGATAAAACCATCATTCCTTAGGTATGATAATACCATCATCTCTAAGGAATGATAAATGCATCGTACTTAAGGAATGATAAAACCATCATATCTAAGAAACGATAAAACCATCATTCCTTAGATACGATAATACTATTGTCTTTAAGGAACGATAAATACATCGTATCTTAAGAACGATAAAACTATCATTCCTTAGGTACAATAATACCATCGTCCCTAAGGAACAATAAATGCATCGTTCCTTAGAAATGATAATACCATTGTTCTTAAGAAACGATAAATGCATCTTTCCTTAGAAATGATAATACTATCGTACCTTAGGTATGATAAAATCGTCGTACCTAAGGTACGATAATACCATCATACCTTAGGAATGATAAAATTGTCATACCTAAGGTACGATAAATGCATCGTTCCTTAGGAATGATAAAACTATTGTACCTTAGGTATGATGATACCATCTTTCCTAAGGAATAATAATACCTATCGTATCTAAGGAACAATCCAATCATTCCAATCAGACATCAATCAGTTATAAATAAGATAGGTCAAATTTTGATATATACCAATCGGCTATAAGTATGCTAATCGGCTATAAATAAGATAGGTTGAATTTTGGCTGATTCTTGGCCGATTTCTGATGTATGCCAATCGGCTAAGCTGATTTTTGATAATTTGCCGAATTTAGGCCGATTTTAGACTGATTTTTACATGTCTGATTTTTTTGATTTCAACCAGTGATATATTTAAAAATAGAAAAACTAAAACTAAAATTAATTAGTTTATAGTATAATAATTAGTTATTCATAATAAAAGAAATTTTATATAAATAGATAGACCTTTTTTTATATTATAAATTAACTTTTTTGCAAATTTGTAAACTCTTTTGTAAATATGAGTTTTAATATTAATAAAGGAATTAATTAAAACTTATATTTTTCTACCTCTTTGTATCTTCATATATTTTAACGTAATCTTTACATATTATTTATAATTAAGTTTATCATCTAAATTCTTTAACTAAATTCATTTTTAACTTTATTTTTTAAGTATTTATACTTAACAGATTTATTAAGTTTAATATGTAAATTTAGTAAAAATAAGATTCTAATAATTTAGCTACAGTTAATAATCTCAAGTAAAAATTAAAAATATAGTCAACCTGAATTAAAAAATTCTACAGTGATAATATGCATAAAAAAGCATAGCAAAGAAATTTAAAAATACTTACTGAAAATTAAAAAATAATTCAGTATAATTGTCTTAATCACTTATTATTACTTTTTGCATTTTCTAATTTATATAATTAGATTTATAATTTAATTGAATTTGAATTAGCTAATTTAAAAAGAAAAAAAAAAGTGATTAAAGTTTGAATAATTAAAAATTTACAAAAAATTTAAAAAAACTATAATATATATATAACAAATAATATTAAACAATTATTTCTTACTTTAATAATCTAATTATTATAAAGGTATATCATCATTTAGCATATATCGATATTAATATAGCTAGAATTTTGTATATACAGAGGGCTGTCAAAAGTCTCTGAACGCTTTTTGGCTCAATAAATCATTTAAAATTTTTAAAATTTAATTAAAAAATTTATTAAATATTTATTAAAAAATGACATATACAGTAAATTTCATACTAATTAATTAGTACTTGGTCAGGCTTCCATTTGCTTCAAATGCAGTCTGAATTCATTGTGAATTATTATCAACCAAATTTTTGATAGTATGTATGAAAATTTCTCTCCATGATTTCTTAATATGCTGCTCTAGTTTAGCAATATTAGAAGGCATTTTTTTCTTTCACAAATGCTTTTCTTAATACCAACTTACAGATTTTCAATCAGACTAATGTCTGGACTTGAGCAGGCCATGAAAGAACATGCATATCATTTTCTGCATGTAAATTCTTCGCCTGTTTCATATTATGAGGCTGAGAATTATTCTCCTGAAAACTACCATCACCATTTTAAAATGCATTTTTAAAGTACGATTCATGTAAACAAAGTTTGTAATGTCATATGATCGCAGAATTGCTAAGTTACATAAAATTGATGATATTGAATCACACTTAAAAAGTAATGTTCAGAGACTTTTAGCAGCCCTTTGTATTAAATATAATAAGTTTGATTAATTTATTATTAATTATATTTATTATTAATAGAAAGGATCTTTAAAAACTAATAATAATAATAAAAATAAGGTAATATTTATAATTTAATATATTTTTTAATATTATTTATAAATTTTATATAATTTATTTAGAATTTAATTAAAATTGATTTAAATAATGAATTTAATAATGAACAGGAGATAATTATTTATTAATTTTAATATATTTTATATTTTTTAATATTCTTTATTAATTTTATATAATTAATATTTTAGAAATTAATTGAAATTGATTATAATGATGAATCTAATAATGAACATGAGGTAATTATTTATTAATTTTAATATATATTATATTTTTTAATATTGTTTATCAATTTATATAATTTATGTTTTAGAAATTAATTGTAATTGATACTAATAATAAATCTAATAATGAATAAGAGGTAATTATTATTAATTAATGTATATTTTATTTTTAATATTATTTATCAATTTTATATAATTGATATTTTAGAATTTAACTGAAATTGATTCTAATAATGAATCTAATAATGAACATAAGGTAATTATTTATTAATTAATTTATAAAGATATATAAAAATAAAGCCAAAAAAAATTAAATACTTATAGAGAAAATATGGAAAAATATATGAAATCAAAATAACAAAATTCCTTGAAATTTAAAATTAGAGATATAGTAAATTTAAAAATTCTAGTAAAAGATTATTCTAAAAATAATAGAACTAATATACCTTATAAAATTATTAAAAGGTTATACAATAATTATTATAAATTGGGTTGCAATTTGGAATTTTGAATATTAGCTATAATGGAAGTAATTTAGAACCAGTTTCATTAAATAATTTACCTGAATTTGATAATATTCCTAATAATATTGTTAGTGTTAAAGAGGCTTCAAAATTATAAAGTATATCAGAAGTTAAAATTTCTAATATAAAATGTACGTGCAAAAAGTCTTTTTGCATTACATTTTGTTATATTTGCAAAAAAGTGAAAAGTATTATAATGTAAATTGTCATCCAGATGAAGATTGTAATAATTTACTAATATAAAATTTGTTTACATTTTGTTTACAATTTAAATAATAAAAATAAAGTTTTATATATATAAATATTAAGTATAAATAATTTAAATTTACTATTAATTTATTTTAAATAAAAAATAAAAGATAAGGTTATAATTTAATAAACTTAAATAATGCAATCATTAAGAATAGTCTAAATACATTTGAATTGGTCTTTTAGAATATCCTAAATGCTTATTTGGGATATCTGAAATAAACATTTGAAATATTATCTAAAGTGTGCATTTGGGATATCTGAAATGAGTATCTGAGATATTATCTGAAATGAGTATTTGAAATATATGTACATTTGAGGCAAGTGAATATCCTAAACGATCTTTATATTTAGGATATTCCAAATACGCATTTCAGATATCAATGCATTTGGAGTATAATAGGCATTTTTTATACAAAATTCATTGATCATCTAATTTTTATTTATATAGGTGGCTGTTATTCGTATCCCCCACTTTGTTATTCGTACCCCCTACATTAAAATCGCTATATGATTGGATGATGTACAGTTACGTGACAAGTCCAATTAATTTTACTGCGCCATTCGTTTAAAAAATGATGAAATATGATATCACCCAAGCCACTTAAATTGATCATATAAACTTTACATTTGATCAAAGCTTCTCACGTTTTGTCAACAGTTATTTTTCTTAAAAAATCTAACTTTTATCAAAATGCTTCCACCACCTTCTATTGAATACAGAAGTGCTGATGAACTTTTTCAAAGTGCTCAAACATTTGCAAATTCTCAAGGTTACGTGTTAGTAAAAAAAGGACTCATAAGGATCGCCATAGTGAATTGAAAAATATGACTTTACGTTGCGATCAAGGTGGTATTTATAATAACTTTTTAGGTCTTACTGAAGAAACACGCTAAAGACATAAAGGTACAAGATTAATTGACTGTCCTTTTGAATTGTATGCTGCTAAACATAATGATCTATGGTATTTAGAAACTCACAATGCAAACCATAATCATGATTGTTCAGAAAACATATCAGAACATCCAATTACCTATCAACTTACAGAATTACAGCTAGAAATTGTTACATCAATGACTGTTGCTGGTTCACGTCCTCGAGAAATTTTATCAACCCTTCTTCAAAATAATGCATCAACATTAGTTATTAATAGAGATATTTATAATACTCGTGAATGGCTTCGTCAAAAAAATTTAGCAGGACGTACTCCTATAGATGAGCTTAAAGAAGGCAATTTTACATATGAATATGAATGTGACAATATGGGTTGCGTTACTTATCTTTTTTTTGCACATAATGAATCTGTTGCTCTTACTCATCAATATTCTTCTGTACTTCTTATGGATTGCACCTACAAAACAAACAAATTTAAAATGCCTTTATTAGATATTGTTGGTATTACTAGCTTTAATATCACCTTTTATTCTTGCTTTGTTTTTATGAAAGGTGAAGAAAGAATAGATTATCAATGGGCTCTAACTCATATTGCTCGTTTATTTGACGGAATATCAAGACCTGGTGTTATTGTAACAGATAGAGAACTGGCTCTTATGAATGCACTTGAGATAATCTTTCCAGATTTGGCAAATTTACTGTGTTTGTGGCATATTAACAAAAATATTCTAAAAAATTGTAAACCACAATTTTCGAAAAAAACAGAAAATTAGAAAAGTGATAAATGGCAATTATTTCTTGCAAAGTGGAATGATATAGTTCAATCAATAACAGAAATGAATTTAATGAAAAATGGCAAATATTTTGTTCTACTTATGCAAATAAACCTTGCATTGTTACTTATCATGAAATACTTGGATGCTATGGAAGGAGAAATTTGTAAAGGCATGGACAAATGAATTTTTTCATTTAGGAACTACTGTAACTTCTTACGTTGAAGATGCACATTTAACTCTTAAAGCTAACTTACAAGTATCAACAGGGATCTTTATCGGGTTCACATGACAATCTCTTTAATGGTAACTAATCAAAAAAAGAGATTAACAGTATAGTTGCATCAAATCGTATTTATCTTCTGATTTTTGCACATAATAATCCATTATATGCAAACATTAAAGGTAGAGTTTCAATATTTGCTCTCAAAAAAATAAATGAGCAATATCAGAAGGCAGCCCACGCAACTATACAGGAACCTTTACCACTATGTACCAAATCATTTTCAAAAACAATGGGTCTGCCTTGTGCTCATAATATTCAACATTTGGATAATAACCGGAGTCTAATTATTGATAATATTCATAAACATTGGTGGATTCAAGGATATTCATTGGTACTACAAGCTGATGAAAATACCTCTCTTCATGAAGATACTCTGCAACCTCTTCTACGAAATCTACAAGAGAGATACCAAGAATGGCCTAAATTTCAACAAGTAGCAGCATATGTAACATTGGACAACATGATTAATGCCCCATTGATGGTTTTGCAAAATCTCAAAGTCATTCCTACAAAAGGACGTCCTTCTGGTGCTACTAATAAACGATGTTAGTGATAATCCGTTTGCGCAACTAAATGACTGCGCCAACTAGCGTCACCAATGATCACTAGGAAAATCGTGATCACCATTTTCACCGATTTCACTGCTATCACGGTTATCGTTGTGATATTCATTTTCTTTATTTT